TGCATTTCTTTGTAATAATAAGCTGGAACCCTTCAATGAGCATGGTCTGACGCACTCTTAGCAATTTTTTTTAATGGGAAATTGATATAAATAAGATTACTCTTCATATCTTAATTATAATTAATATCCATTTCATAGATTTTATAAAAAGAATGAAAAGTAATTATGTGTTGAATAAAATAATACTTAAATAATATACATGAAATTGGAAATTAGCTTAATAAAAAAAATTTGAAAATCTTCATGAGTTAAAATTGCAAAAACAAAATACAAATTTAGAAAACATGGTAGAAAATTAAAAAATTAGACTGTGACTGTATTTTTTTTAACGTATTACTAGGACATCGCTTACTTACGCTTTGTGTTGTAATTAAATTTAATTAGCCCAAATAAGCAATAAGCATTGTAAGAGATGTTTTATTTCTTAGAGATTGGAAGTTAATCAAAAAACTCATCTTTGTTCAATTAAGTTTCTCAAAAAATGTCATGATTACGTACATCGTATGTCTACGATAAAAATATTAATTGTTTTGTGTTTTCAATTCTATCAATTGACCGACTTAAACGATATTAAGTTTGTTTGTTGGCGTCTTCATTGGGATAAGGTTTTTATACTTAAAACAAAAAAATAAATAGAAGGATGCTTACAAATCTCACTGTGTACCGCGCATTAAAAAACGCATAATCCTCATTTACCGCACCGTCCACAGCGTAATGCTGCTAGCTCAAAGCGGCTTAACAACTTAGCACTTCCGAGGTTTGTTGCGTCAGAATTTCGTCACGCCATCGCCTTCCATAATTCTTTTGTTTCAGACCGAGTGGAAGTACCAAGTTCCAATAGAGGGTTTAGACACCAGTTTAAGCCCAATGATGCGGCGGCAACGTCCGCGACTGACAACTCAACGTGGTGTTCGATGTAGGTGGCAAATGGTTCAATTTGTTTCAAGCTAAAAACTTATTGGCCAATTCGCCCGTCGCGATCACGATTCGAATTGAGTACCTTTTGGTTGGAAGGCAACACCTTGACCACTCGGCTATCATCGCTGTTAATTTGTTAATGGTAAATTGATAATGATAAAAATCATATCTCTTTCTGTTATCCATTGTATGCTCCTTTCAATTATTGTATGAATTTTCATTATAGAATACATTTAATTTTAAACATAAACAAAAATGCTTAAACGCAAAATATCGCAAAACTCTTTTTAGTTTATATATTGATGTCGTTGATAGTGTCAAAAATTGTAATTATCACTTTTCTGTTGAAGATTTGCAGATACATATCTCTTGCAACCCTATGTAACAAAAAATGCTAGGTACATTGTGTTTCCTTGGCTGACACCGACTCCAAAAATAACAATAATTGTAACTACCTTATATCATCGTAATAATTTGATTGACTTTCAAGTAGTCTAATATTTTTCATTTCGTTTTACTTAGGAGATCTCTAAAAAATATTTTGATCATTGTTTGTTATTCATAGGTATGTGTTGAGTTAAATTTGAAGTGGGTAGGTACCTACCTACCTTCTTACGTGGTAAACTCATAGAACATACCTACATATTCATAAGTAGAAAAGTAAGTTGATTATTAAATTGTAGAAGAATACGCAATTATTTTTTTCTTATTAGATCATATTAATTTGTTTTGGAATAGTTTTCTTGGAAGTCGGTTTTTTTCTGTTTCTTTCCTGATTTTTAGTGAATCTGAAGTACACTAACTAATTCGTCTGAATATGGGCAGACCTACTAAACGTGCTGCTCATAAATCGCACCCTTACTCTAAGCCGTTAAGAGTTCCATTGATCCATATTCGACTACGACAATTACTTGACCATAACGACCTTACGGTAGGTGACTTAAATATCCGGATAGCCTATAAAAGATTCGGCCGAGTATCGTTAATTTGCTCCTAAGTATTGGAGAGTTCCGTTACTTTGTCATGGATCCCATAATCAGAACCTAACCAAACTCTCATCAAACTACCCTTGAAGTACATCCTTTCCAACAAAAAAGAATCATCGAAATCGGTTAGCGTAATATTGAGTTATTCGTCCATTTGTAGCGCACGTACTTAATGCAAATTTAAGATTTATATGATTTTCTAATGGATGTCATTGTCAGAACTGAACCAAATTAAAAGTGAACCAGACGGGAAGCACCAGCTTTCATATAATAAAAAGAATTATCAAAATCGGTTTACCCAGTCGAAAGTTCTGAGGTGACAAACATAAAAAAAAACACAATCGAATTGAGAACCTCCTCCTTTTAATTTGCGATCGGTTAAAGGGCGTGGTGATATTTCGATTTCCGCCCTTTGCGCTAGACCTAAAATATTTGCCACTCCAATTCGTTGGCAATGATTGCATGACCACTTTCAAAGAAAGAAATCATTTAATCAGCCAACATTTTTAACAGTCGATTGTACTACTTATTATTTAAACCTGAAAGAAAGATTTTTTTTCCTTTTATAAATTCACGTCCATTTTCCAAAGAGGTAAAACAGAGACCATGGATCTCCATGATCTTTTCATATCTCTTGGAATTGGTGGAATCAGGATCAAAATTTCAATAAAATCTCGATCATGATTTACGTAGGCGGCACCCCGGGCGAAAACTGATGATCTTATAAATTACAAATATTAATCATATCGAACGCTTACTCACTTCGTTTTATGAATTTTCATTGCTCAAGAGCATGGAATACCGCTTTCATAGCACGTGAAAATGAATACTATTTTATACAATAAATATTTTCTATGATAATAAATATGAAACTTAACAATTTATCGTATTTAAGCTCGACAAAACTGATGGTTGCTAATGCTGTGAATACCAGTTTAAAACTAAATATTCATTCCGTTATAATTAAACTTTATTATTTACTTAATACGTGAGATTTTATGTTGAAATAACATCACAGTGGAGTTAAAATAAATTCTATTCCTGAGTGATAGTTCGCAACAATAGATTCAAAGAGCTAATATTTAACGAACTTCAACACGTCTCCGAGTTTGATTTCCACTTCAATAATTTTGATTCGTAACCGCCTAAAATACACCAACAATAAAACCATTAAACACAGCATGCAATGTCTTTATATAATAATAATATAATGAGCACCCATTCCTATTTCTATGGCTTTGCACCGGTCATTAGGTTACCTACCTAATCCTTTTATGCAATCACTTTTTAAAATAAATGGAATAGATACAATTTTCCTGAATGTCGATTCTCTGCGTGCCTAATGTCCCAAATGTCGTACAATTTTTTTCTATTGGTTTCAAGAGTAAATACTCCTGTACTCTATTATATATTACCATCTTCACTATTAATATATAATTCATGTTTCCATTATGTTATTCATACATCTTTAACACATACGTCTATTTCATCACGTGACTGCGTGTTTGCTTTGAACATATTTAAGTATCTTCTATCCAAATTCCTTCCTTATATTTTCCTTTCGCGCATCCGAATCTCCGAATATCTCATTATTTATTAGCAATAAGTTTTGAAATATTTAAACTTATTAATTAAAGTCTTAGTTCATACGCATCGCCCACACTGGTCACACTATTATTTTTGTAATTTTAAGTGAAAGCCAAGTGAATTATTTACAAAATTTAAATTTTTTTTGTTCACAACAAAGCCGTGTACCCACTCTAACAGACATACCGTGTGTTTTTTATACATTCCACGTGAGTGGATGAATTGTGTAGTTTTTTTTTTTTTGTTTATCTATGTATAAATAAATTGTGATTCGAATACTTTAGAAAATCCAAAAACGATGACATTTATATTTGAAAATAGTTTTGATGATTTGAATAACTTTTGGCACTTTCTAAAAACTCTGACGCGGTCAAACTACGCTTTACTTTTATACGTAATATTTTTAATTTTTCTAATATAGACATTATATAGTAGACATCTGAGAATTCTTTTAAAACTTCTAGAAATAGAACCAGCACAAAAAGAATAATTAAAAAAAGAAATTTTCTATTCTTCTAAAGAATTTTTCTAAAAATCTACGCAATCGATTTATGTAAAATCATTAGGGAATCTAAGTTCGTTCAAGCCATTATTAATGCTGCAGTACTGTGTCAATTAATTAGTTCACTCAAACATGTTCAAGGCTCACTCACGCTCGTGCTGACGCTCCTAGACGCTTGCGCTCACGCACGCATACCCTGACATTGTCTGAAAAAGAAAATACTTTCTAGCATTCCAATACGTTGACATCTAACGAAAGTTTGATTTTCAAAAATCGGACTCAAAATAATAACTTCGTTTTTCTTATTAGGAATTTAAAAGATGTACCGTAAAACATTACCTGTTGGCTGTATGATATTATGCTCTCATTATTCTTTCTCGGTAATCACCCAATCACAGCAATCAGATTTATTCTGATTGCTTTGGACCTAATGTAACGAATTCCCACAACGGAATAAATACATTATTGTCGTCTGAACAAATCAGATATCCGTCGCTGATGAAATTTGTGGCTCTGTCCTAATAGAACACAAATGCAATTAATGTCTGTTGTGTACTCAAGATTCCTCTGTATGGAATGGTTACGATATGGCAGGTTATTCATTTGCAACTTTTAATAAACGAATAAATGCATAGAAATCAAACAAAACATCGTTATATGGGCTTTTTTTGCATTCCCCTAAATTTCAGCAACCAAACCCGCACAGATTCTAACTCCTCAGTTTGAAATACAAAAATTGTAGGCTGACATACCTCAGCGGTAGGACGATATAAATTTAATAAAATTTTGCAAATAAACTCGACTATTTTATTTTCATTACAAACAATAAATCAATACTGACAGTATTTACGCCAAGCTAAAAATAGTAAACAGTCATCGTGGTAACTATTTTGTACATGTAAATGAGTTTGTTTGCTTTTACCTTTAGTAATTTATGGCAAATTATGAAATATTGAAAGGTCTTGGAAAAACCATAAAAATGTATGTTTTTAGAATATTCAAAAATATTTCTAATTAGAATTTAATAATATTTTACAATTCACAAAGACTTTGAAATATGTCCACAGTAGATAAATGTCAATCACGACGTATTAAGAATGGAAGTGTTGCTCTTTATCCATTTGTCCACTCATATTTTTTTAAATATTGTTATTTTAATTAATCACTAATAAAATAAAACATTAATGATACAAAGAGTTATTTTTCTTTCATACAAGCATTGTCCTGACAATTAGGAACGCTACAAACATGGAATCGACCAAATCGGTCGAGCCGTTCACATGTGATGCTCTTCCATACATGTGGCAATTGATTTTTATTTATATAGATGTACAGATTTGCGGAAGCGTGCGTTGTGGTAACCACAAGACGACACCAGCCACGTCCCTAGGCGTCTGGAACAACAAGACTGGGCACGAGGTGAGTCCGACCTTCGTTGACTAAACAAATTCCCGTACTGTCCGGGTCGCGTACAGTGAAATGTAAATTAAAAAAGCCAAGCGTTTAGTAGTAAAAGATATATTTACTTTTGTCTTTGATTCCTTCCTAATATCACTCTGAGATGTGTCCATTCTACTCTATGTATTGATGACAACGTTTTGAGGATTTCTTATATACTAGTTTAAATGGAAAAAGGTAATACATTGCTATATTTCCATATAATATGTTTAAATTTTTTGCCTGAAAGATTGTAAACTAAACTGATCTATACTGTTACAGACGCAAAATATTCAATAGTATTTTACAATTTCTTTTGGTTAAAATTATATCAACTTGAATGAAAACGTCACCTAATTTAACGTAAGTAATGAATGAATCAATAAAATAGTAATATAAAGTCGGTATTGCTAGATTTAAATATTTTAAACACTCTATTCATTCATTATTTCGGTATGAAAAGGTCTGATAAAGAAATTAATTATTATATTGGAATTAGTTGTAGTAGTTAATATTATTAAATAGCTACTACTAATATTAACTACAATATTATATATAATATTGTAGTTAATATTAGTAGTAGCTATTTATCACTTAACGGGGAAACAGTATTG